GAATATATCTAAAATTTATTTATAACATATTATACAAGACGTAATAGTTAATTTTACTTGTGTGGATACGAGCATTAGGATGTTCGAATCCAAATTTAAGAAATTGATGAATTTTCTAATTTATCAGCTAGCTTTGAGAATGATATTAAGAAAATGGATATATATATTTGTCAATTTAACACTATATTTTGGTTGTTATAATAAAAAATGTTTAAATTGTGGATTATAGTATAAAAATATTATTATTTTTTATTTATTTAAGAATTAGGTTAGGGCACATCTCTAGCTAAGTGTAGCTCAAATGTGTGTGTGTGTGATTTTTTTTTTTTTTTTTTTTGGGTGATTGGTGGTGTTTGGGCAGTTTGCGTGTACTCCAACTAATCTCTTGAAGCCTTGAAGTTAGAGGTGGGCAAGGGACTGGTCCCTTGCGGGCCCAGGCCTGGGCCCAGTCACTCATGGGCCTGGGACCGGTCCCAGGCCCATGAGAAAAACCAGGACCCGGACCAGGCCTTAGGCCTGGTCGAGACTGGGCCCATAGGACCGGTCCCATGGGCCTTGGATAATTTTATTTTCCTCCCTCAAATTTTTTATATTTTAGGGGTAAAATAAAATTTTATAGGGGGTTTTTAGTATTTTTTAGGGGTAAAATTTATAAATTTTATAAATTTTTTAGACCTGGAGGATTTTTTTTTTATAAATTTTATAAAATTTCATTTTAGCCCTCGTAATTTATATTTATTATAAAATTAATAGGGGTTTTATGTAATTTGGCAGGGACTACATTGAAAAAATACAAAAAAATTTGGGCCCGGGGACTTGGAGGAGGGCCCAGTGGAGGGCCCAGGCCCTCCTCCTTAGCGGGACCAGGCCTCCTAGGTTTGGTCCTCTTAAGGACCGGTCCTAGGACCGGGTTTTAGAGCTGGGCTTTTGGGACCGGCCCCAAATGCCCAGCTCTACTTGAAGTTAACAATTTGGGTGAATTCACTCAATGATCATCCCTATTAGCAACTCAGATAGATCAAATTTAAGATCTTTTGAGTAATATACTCAAAAGCACTAATTGACTATCGAACCACCTAGTGGTGGTTCGTGTAGCCCAAATTTATCTATAACAAATTAATAAATTTCCAATGTCTTAAAGGAATTTTATGATAAATACATTTTTTATTATCTAAAATGTATTTAATAATTCTAAAAGGTATTTAATAGTTNTTTTACTTTGTCATTTTTTTCACTATATATTTATAAATTATATTGAAATAGAAATTTATCAAACACTTCTTTTAAAATTTCGGAATATATCTAAAATTTATTTATAACATATTATACAAGACGTAATAGTTAATTTTACTTGTGTGGATACGAGCATTAGGATGTTCGAATCCAAATTTAAGAAATTGATGAATTTTCTAATTTATCAGCTAGCTTTGAGAATGATATTAAGAAAATGGATATATATATTTGTCAATTTAACACTATATTTTGGTTGTTATAATAAAAAATGTTTAAATTGTGGATTATAGTATAAAAATATTATTATTTTTTATTTATTTAAGAATTAGGTTAGGGCACATCTCTAGCTAAGTGTAGCTCAAATGTGTGTGTGTGTGATTTTTTTTTTTTTTTTTTTTGGGTGATTGGTGGTGTTTGGGCAGTTTGCGTGTACTCCAACTAATCTCTTGAAGCCTTGAAGTTAGAGGTGGGCAAGGGACTGGTCCCTTGCGGGCCCAGGCCTGGGCCCAGTCACTCATGGGCCTGGGACCGGTCCCAGGCCCATGAGAAAAACCAGGACCCGGACCAGGCCTTAGGCCTGGTCGAGACTGGGCCCATAGGACCGGTCCCATGGGCCTTGGATAATTTTATTTTCCTCCCTCAAATTTTTTATATTTTAGGGGTAAAATAAAATTTTATAGGGGGTTTTTAGTATTTTTTAGGGGTAAAATTTATAAATTTTATAAATTTTTTAGACCTGGAGGATTTTTTTTTTATAAATTTTATAAAATTTCATTTTAGCCCTCGTAATTTATATTTATTATAAAATTAATAGGGGTTTTATGTAATTTGGCAGGGACTACATTGAAAAAATACAAAAAAATTTGGGCCCGGGGACTTGGAGGAGGGCCCAGTGGAGGGCCCAGGCCCTCCTCCTTAGCGGGACCAGGCCTCCTAGGTTTGGTCCTCTTAAGGACCGGTCCTAGGACCGGGTTTTAGAGCTGGGCTTTTGGGACCGGCCCCAAATGCCCAGCTCTACTTGAAGTTAACAATTTGGGTGAATTCACTCAATGATCATCCCTATTAGCAACTCAGATAGATCAAATTTAAGATCTTTTGAGTAATATACTCAAAAGCACTAATTGACTATCGAACCACCTAGTGGTGGTTCGTGTAGCCCAAATTTATCTATAACAAATTAATAAATTTCCAATGTCTTAAAGGAATTTTATGATAAATACATTTTTTATTATCTAAAATGTATTTAATAATTCTAAAAGGTATTTAATAGTTTATGATAAATACATTTTAGATAATCACAATTATTTTTAACAATTATAAGAGATATTTAATAATGTAATGAAATGCTTTATATTTACCAATATCTCCAGCAGCCCAAAAATAAAAGTTACAAGAAAATATTTTACAAAATAGGCTGAATGACATTGTAAACCCCAATCTATCGTGAAAGGACAATTTTCCTTGTCTAGTTTTGGAAACACCCAGTATTATTCCCAAAGTTATCTCCCTCCATCTCATTTTCTATGTATCTAGCTTTGACCACTAAAATTTCAGTTTTACCCTCGTTTTCGTTATTAGAAGAATAAATAATTTCAAAATTAATTAATGAAAAAAATGGAAAATAGCAATTCATAACAAATCAATAAATCATCAAATATATAAAAAAAAAAAATCAATCCTAGAATATATCATCCAAAATCATAAATTTAATGATTTGATTGTGGGATTTGTGATTCTTAATGCTCTTGAGTTATAACGGTATGTATTTAGGAAATTAATTTGAAAAAGTTTTACTATTTATTGGTGTTTAGCTGAAAGATTTTAATTTATAAATTAAAATTTAGTGTGTTATATATGTGAGCTGAATTAACAAGACTATCCTTTGTCGTTTAAGTTTAACATTTGAATTTAAAAAAAAAAAAAAAAGGGCAACATGGTGCTTGAGAACAGAGGGGGGAAATGGTCTTTCACAATAGGGGTCAAAATTGATTCAACCTTACAAAATATGAGTTAAATAATTTTGGTCCTTAAGGTTTAAGCTAGGAAACCACACATGGGTGGTCGGGTAGGGCGATAGAGACTCTTGAGTGTATTGCTCAAGAAGTCTTGAGTTCGATTCCCTTCGGTTGCTAATAGAAGTGGCCATTAGTAGGGGTGTTCGATTCCAGATACCCTATATTTTTTGAAGAAATCGGAACCGATGATTCCTAAAATTTGGAACCGGAATCGGAACCGAGGATTCCTATTCCGGTTTCAGGTACCTGAGAAAATTGAAGTAAATAAAAAATCCAAATACAAACTGAAGTAAACAAAACATTCAAATACAAACTGAAGTAAACAAAAGAAATTCATAATTTGTTCCAGCATCCTTAATACACTAGTACTAACAAAAAATCCAAGACAATGCTCATAAAAAACTAGAAAAATGTTGTAAAAGAAGAGGCCCACTGATGACGCATAAACCCAAATGCCAAGCACAAATCTCAAACTTTACATGTAAGTACCGAGCACTCAATTTTTGAGAATTCATTCACAAATCCAATAAATACAAACAATTTTAACCCTCATCAAACGCTAAGAATATATTAAAGAACCAATTAATATAAACAGGTTTTTCTTCCTTTCACAAAAAATGGAACGAGGAAGTGCTATGTCCAATGATTTCATTTATTCCTTGAAATCTTTAATTTTTATTCTTTTACATGATAAAAAATGGAAAGTGAGAAACACAAAGTGGCATACCTTTCAAACCCAACGAAAAGAATGTCTGAGAAGAGTGTGGGATCCGGGATGGATTGGGACTAAAATGGTTTCTCCTAAAATCTTGAAGTTTTTATATATGCCAGCAAAATTACAAAACCCTCCACTTTTTAATGTTATTTCATATTAGTCTCAATTCTCGATTTCGGTTCCTGACTACAAGAATCGAAATCGGAACTGCACAGTGACGGCTCTAAATTTTTTGAACCAGAACCTACCCGTTGACAATCGGTTTCGGGACCGGTTCCGATTTCGATCGGTTCTTTTGAACACCTTTAACCATTGGAGGGTTTACTCGGTTGTTAACTTTAGGACTCTGAGGGATTAATCGAGATGCACGCAACTTGTCTAAATACCCCAAGTCAACCAAAAAAAAAAAACAAAAAGGTTTAAGCTAGGAACTTTAGGTCCAATAACTTTGATAATAATACTTAGATCCTTGTGAGGTAAGAGATATTAAAAATATTTTGTAAAGTCTAGAGTATCCCTTCTTTGTTAAATTGTTTATAATTATATATATATATATATATATATAATTAACATAATTGTTCTAAATTTTTAACAAAATTGTCAATTATAGCCCTCTATTTTTATTATTTTTTTTTATAATTTTGGTAATTTTTAATCTCATTCACATAAAACAAGATTGAGAACATTTTAGACTAATAAAAAATCTGATAAAATTGCTATCTGATAAGTACCTAAATGTTACTATCTGGTTATACTGGACTTTTTTGATATAGATAAAACATAAGGGACCGAATAAAACTCAATAAAAATATATTAATGGCGATTCCGGATAGCCATTCCGAATTCATCACGTGTCACGAAGTGAGTCATAAATGTATCGAGTACAATTCTATTTCAATTTGTGGTCAAAATTCCCTCCATTTCAATGTCATCCGGATTTCCCTCATCTCTTCATTCTTCAACATTCATAATATCTTTTTATGATTATTCCACAATTCAATTCAATTCCATTCAGTTCAATAAACCTTAACCTTTACCCCACCCTAACCCACAATTCTGTTCCTTCATTCTGCAACCATGGCGGCAACCACTTCTTTATTAGAGTTAAACCAATTAAAATGGACCCAATTACACCCCCATCCTCGGTTATTCCCTCAAAGAAACGCCAAATTTGGTCCCGCTTTCAACAATTTTCATACCCTTCAACGTTCCGCCAAGTCCGGCGCCGTTAAATGCTTCTTTACTCCCCCAAGGAAGCATCTTCCGGCCAATTCAAGCTTAAATTCAAAAGGGGTTTTTGACCCACTTGAGGTTATGAGCAAAACGGTTGTGAAAACTTTTAACGCGTTGAAGAAGCCCGCAATGGTTGCAGTTTTGGTTGGCCTTTTAATGGCGTTTGATCCTAATTCTTCATTGGCCGCGTCTGGTGGGAGAGTCGGGGGCTCGGCGTTCTCGTCGCGGTCTTCGTCATCGTCATCGAGGAGTTATTCGGCGGAGCCGAGAGTACCGTACTCGGCTCCTTATTATGCTCCGTCGCCGTTTGGTGGTGGTGGGGTTTATGTTGGGCCTGCGGTTGGCGTTGGAGTTGGAGTGGGCGGTGGGTCGAGTTTGTTCTATCTATTTATGGGTTTTGCAGCGTTTGTTTTGGTTTCGGGCTTTTTGTCTGATCGGTCTGAAGGGGATGTGTTGACTGCCACTGAGAAAACTAGTGTTATTAAGCTTCAGGTATGGGGATTGGATGATTTTTCTTATGTTTTCAATTTTAGATTGTTTTGGTTTCGGCCTAGAGGTGTTAGAAATTAATATTTTGAAACTTATGGGAAGGTTTTGGTGATTTTGAGGGAGGTATATGACAACTTTTTAAAATATTAGGGAGTTTGATTATGAAAAAAACCAATATGGACCATATCGTCTTCGGCATTTCAACCAAATGGGGAGCATTCGTTGAAATTTTCTGCTGTAGAAATTTTATAAGCGATTAATGTTAGTTACATGTTGAAATGTTGAGATTAGGTGCTTTGATGGTTAAGGTGGTATTTAGATTGGAATGGATGAGAATTCTCTATTTGGTAATAATAATATATTAGTTTGTTTAAAAATCAATGATTTGGTGGTATAATAACTTATTGTTGCGTTTGGCTGTTTTTCATATGGAATATTAGGTTGTTCCTGGAAAAAATTATTTTTTAGTTTTGTTGGTTTGGTAGATGATAAAATCCAGAGTATGTGTTGAAAGTGGAAAACTTTGTTTCTTATTGTGTTTCAAGGGATTTGTGTAGTGGTAATAGTGAATATGTGTAATTTAGGTCATGCTAGCATCTGATTAATGAGGAACATCAACTGCAGGTTATGACTCTGTAAGCAAGAATGTTAGAGATTGAGAGTTGGGTTAAATGAGAACTTTGAGAGGGCTTGAGAAGATGATAATTAAAATTAAAATTTTGTCTATAAGAGACTCTGAAATTTTATTGAATTTGTTGATTTTACAGTATCATTGTACTGAATTACTATCTTATTGCAATAAATACTATTCATTCAAAATGTTATTGGCTGAGCTGGGTCTTCCAGGCAATTTATATTTGTTGGTTTTAGAAGATCATTATCTTTTTTTTTTTTTTTTCAGGTTGGGTTGTTGGGCATGGGGCGGTCTCTTCAAAAGGATCTTAATCGAATTGCTAATACGGCAGATACATCAACCCCTGAAGGCCTGAGCTATGTATTGACAGGTAAGCCTCTACTCACTGTTTGGTTGTTAGCTTCAATTTTTTTTTCATGTTTTCTTTTGAAGAAGATACTGTTTCTCTTTACATAGACTAGTTAGCAACTGCCTAAGCTGTTGTCATACATTGAGTGAGATATTTCAGAGGGATTTTTAACGGTCATGTAAATCATTCTGGGATATCTTCCTATGGGCTTAGATTTGTCCTTGTTATGAAGTGAGATGCCGCAAGCTTTAGATTTACTACATGGTAAAGCTTAAAATAGTAAAGCCTCTGTTAATATGTTTTTTGTTTTCAGAAGGAATCTGACATGCTCTGAATGATTATAGGTAAGTTATTAGCATTACATTTGAATGTATTTTCTCACCAGTCATCATATCCAATGAGGCATACTTTTCTTGTCATGGAGATATGTATGGGATGCTGTACTTCATTATCGATGCATATTTCTCCTAATTTAATTTTATGGAAAATTTTCTTTATGCTGAGTATTATCTACTATAGTTTGGTTTAAATTTTTTTTTTTAAATATGTTCCTTTTTGTTGCAGAGACATCTCTATCTTTGCTTCGGCATCCTGATTATTGCATCTCTGGTTATTCATCTGTAAGTTTACTGCTATTTCTCTTAGTGACTCAATCAAAGCTAACAGTGAAGTCTGGTCTTTTGGTATTGCAAGGGTTGTGGTTAGTGTTTATTCACATATATGTGCGCATGTGTTTGATTGTGTATATATATGTTCATTGAGCACAAACACAAAGCTCTTGAATTATTATTATTTTCAGCTTATTTTATATTTCACTAGTCAAGCCAAATATCCAACATTATGTAAGTGTAACATGTGCATGCCCAAAACTTGTGATATATATGGTAACATTTGCATACCCAAAACTTGTAATATATCGGATATATATGTATGTATGGCTTGTGGTGAAACAGAGATGGCATATTTGTTCCTATCAAACTATACCCATTCAAATCTGTTTGTGTCTTTTCAGGTGGACGTGAAGCGAAGTGTAGAGGATGGGGAGAAACGCTTCAATCAACTTTCAATTGAAGAACGAGGGAAATTTGATGAAGAGACTCTTGTTAATGTTAATAACATCCGAAAGCAAAGTACAAGCAGCCAAAGAGCTGGTGGATTTAGCAATGAGTACATAGTGGTAAGGTTTCTTCTCTGGAATTACAATTAGTTCAGATGTGATGTTGAATATAGTCTTGCAAAAGTTCATCTGGAATTTAGGTTGATTTATTGAGATTGTACACATTTTGGCTGATTGGTGGTTTTACTTTCATATCATTGCACTAAGATCCTTTCAGCATCAAAAGTGGGTAACTTTCATTCAATAGGAAAATTCAACATAGCAACTTGTGTATAAATAATAATATCTGTTCTACTAAACCCAGAAGACTGTAATTTTTATTTTCTCACAAGTTTTTGACCTGATTAAGGTTTAGGGTCAAAAGACTATAAATTCAAAATTATTTTTGATAGAGTGGCTACTCAAGATAAACAGTAGCATAAGGACTAGAAATTTAACTCAACTCTTAATGTCCCGGATCAGATCACAATCCTGGTGGCTGCTGAAGGTGTGCATAAGCTGCCCAGCATCAATGGCAGTGGGGACTTAAAAGAAGCTTTGCAAAAGCTTGGTTCCCTTCCCCAGAGCAAAATAATGGTAAGAAATGCAGTTTGCGAATTATGCCATATAGATTTTGTTAATTTCATTCCTAAAATCTCTTTGATCATGGTGCAGGCAGTCGAAGTGTTATGGACCCCTCAGAATGAAAATGACACGCTGACGGAAAGGCAACTACTGGAGGATTACCCACTTTTGAGGCCTCTATAAGATATATACTGAATCCCTCAACCTCCCCTCAATAGGAGTGAATTGAACTGATTTTTGGATCCTGGTTCTTGTGTACAGAAAGTGTTTATAAATACATAAAGATGTAACTTGTTATATAATCGGTTAGGGATTGTTCGGCTGTGCTGAATCTGTAAAGTCATATAACAGAGACGGTATACAGTTACTTCAAAGCATCAAGTTTCTTTCGCTGTCTCTGTAACGACAATCCATAATTTCTGAGTTCTCTGAAGAATAAAACCGGCTGAAACTTTGAAGGTTATATTTTGTACATTTTTGGCATTGGTTCAAATGGAAGTATATTGAATTGCTGCTTCATTTTGTATGGCCAGTCTTGTGTTATACTATACATACACTCAATCAACTCCATTAGGGCAATGCATAGAGTAATTTCATAATGGGCAGGATTTATCAACTCCATTTTCGTTGTTTTTCATGAACAGGATCCAAATACAGAAATGAATGGGCAAAAAACTATTTTTCTCTGTTCAACCTATTATTTCAATAGTTTTAGTCTCATCAAATATAGCTATTTGTAGAAAAAAATTTGTTTCCAGTCTCCAGAATCAGCTTTTCTGTTCCAAATTTTCAATCTTCTTGTACCCTTGAAACTCAGGCTGCACAACAAATTGAATTGGGCAGTTCCATGAACAGTTTCAAGATAACCCGTTAAGTTTCTTTATTATTATTCAATCTAAGCTAAAGCTTCATCTTCTTATGTGCATATTTTGCTAGAGCTTTTCAAAATTCATATTGTCAATAAAATATTCAATTCAAAGATGCATTTGTATGTTGGTAATAAAGAAAAGTGATTTCTTTAATTAAAAAAAAAAAAAAACTATTGTCTTGAACCGTCTAGCACTGGCAGCTGAGTTGTTCCCTGATATTTTTTAGTGGTGAAGGTAAGAGGGATTCAGCTCTGCTAATGGGTGTGGATCAATTGGTTAAACTGGGTTAGGTTAGGTATGCCAGAGCCCACATATGACAAAAGGTTGACTTAACTTTTCCCTCAGTGTTGTCCATTTTCACTTAGTGGAATGATGCCTAACTTCCATAGAATTAGAAGCTTTTCTTTCATTTTTTTAGGTCTTGAATTCTTGGTTTAAATCTAGTTATTTAAGCCCGTGATTGGTCTTTAATAGGTTTTTTGTCAAGTTAACCCCAAAGAGTTAGCTTGACGAACAAGGAGGTTTGTTTCCTTCTTTGAGTCTTTTGGTTCAAACCTTGAGGCCACCAACCACAATAATATTGTGACTTACCTGATTTATTGAGCTTGTAGGGTGTTCAATGGACCTTGAAAATTAGTTAAGGTGTGCTCAAGCTGGCTCGAACATTCCGGTTACCAAAAATTAAAAAATTAAAAATAAAAGAAGTTTTTTTTTTTTTGTCAAGTCTTGGGAAAACTTTCAACCAAATTGGTGTTTTCAAAGACAAAATTCTAATAGGCTTCTTTAAAAGAGAGGATATTTTGAGGTATAGTCAAATGTCATGGCACTCTTTAAAGCAAAGTAGTTTTAAAGAAGAACAAGTCTCTATTTATGTGGGAAAATCAGAACTACTTTACATAAAGAAATAACTTGAATGGCCAAAATGTTTCCACTTCTCAAATGGTGGTGTGGATGCAATCAAAAACTGATGAAGAAAAGCCAACTTTATATCATTATCATTATCACATTATCAAATTTTTTTGAAAAGCAAAAACATGAAAAGTTGTCAATCATTTAAAAGTGGCCTCCCTCTCTCCCCCACCCCCCAAGTTCCCACAGCCACACAAATACAGAATTTTTTTTTATCTGTTATGCTTCCCCATGCACAAAAAAGCCTACCATTTACAAACAACGATATGAAATGAGCCACCTAACATTCACATAATAACACTTCTATTTTACTTCTTCTTGCTAAATTGACATCACCCACCAAGGTGCAACCATGTACATTTTCAATCTTATTTTCCTTAGTATCCATGTGCTTTGATGGGATAATCATCTATAGTTTCACCATTATTTTTTTATAACCGGAGTGTCTGGACCAGTTTACGCATATCTCAACTAATTTCTAGGGCCTGTTGAACACCCTACAAGCTCAATGTTCTAAGTAAATAGGCCACAAATATAGTAAGTGACCCCAAAGTGGTTTGAACCTAGATAGTTAATGAACGGAGCAAACCTTCTTAACAATCAGATCAATCCCTTGAGTTAGTTTCACCATGTTGGGTCTTGAATTCAAATTTTACGATTCCTATTATGGGACTAAAGGGATTTGAGAAATTAAAAAATCCCCCAACCTTATTTTAGGAATTTGAGTTTGAAACTGAAATCCCCATTAAACCTTACAATCCTTGAAAACTTAAAAACCATTATCATTTTTACCATGTAGGTGTCCATGAGTGTTTAGAAATAAATATTGTATGTTATAAATGTTATAAAAAGTTTTAGTCTAATATGATAAGGAAATCCTTGTTTTTAGTAGGGTAATCACTAGTTTATCTTTGATCTTTTTCTTAAGAAACCAAACAAATCTTTTGGTAAAGGGAGAAAATCAATCCTCTACAATAGTGGTGACATTGACCAATTAATCAGATTTTTATATTCTTGAAGAAAGCAACCAAATCTTTGGCATAGTTAAAATATAAAATCTTGTCCACTTTACTCTGCATAATTTAGCATTGAGTGAAAGAACTAGTCCCTTTTTCTTAATTACAAAATGAGACATGATGTGAGTTCAATTGACCATGAAAACCAAGCGCTGAAAAGAGTACAATATTTGTACAATCCAGTATTTGTAAGAAGGTGGGTGGCATTATTTTAATATTTTTTGGACACATTATTAGGGAAAAAGTCAAGAGTGAATGGAGTTTGGTGGACCATCTTCCATTAAAGGAACCCATCTTGAGCATGTGGAAAAGCCAGGTGGTGATTAGATCAGCTTCGATGGAGATGGAATATGATACTTTTTGGTGCTCTTAGAAATCTTCTCAATAATTTTGACAAAGTGTGGGGCATCCTAATGGTTGAGCCAATTTTTTTAGACAACTTCTCATTGGCCAGCTAGAACTAGCATATAACAAATAATGAAATAATTCAATTCTTCAGCAACTCCAACTCCAGTCTTCTGCAATCATCACTCTCTCTCAATTTCTGGCATAATGGGCATGGCCAGGCCAACAACTTAAAAAAAATGATCCATGGTCCCATATTCAATCAACTAATTCACACATACATGGATGCCCTACAAGCTTCAATGCTAGCATGTGTTTCTACTCATTGAAGTCATAATATGGTTCGAAAGATAAGCCTCAACCAACTCATTTAGTTCATAGTTGGAAGGGTATCTTGCAAAATAGCACACCATATTTGAAACCACCAAAATAGACTACCAAGAGAGACCAACAATCTAAAAAGACTGAAAACATGACCAAGATCATCATACTATGTCTCAAATCACTAAAAACGATGTGATTTAGTACGTTCAACATCATATTAGTAACATTCAATGATAAAGTAATACAAAACAGATGATTGATAAAATATTACCAGGTTAGCATGGGGATGTTATCAGACCCTACATCTCTATCACATTTGCCTTAAAAGTTAGATTGACTATGAATGAATTTTTTGAGAGAGTGTGCTAGGTAGAAACTTGAAGGTGAATATGTTATTACTTGGCCAAAAGGGTGGATTGATAATTACAAAGCCTCTATAAGTGTATTGAATGTTTAAAAGAATCAAAGAGTGCCTTACAGATTTTATAAATCAATAGCATCAACTGGGAGGGATGTTGTCCTGTGAAGAGAGAGTGGAAGCAAAGATCCAGTATGAAAATTGCTGGCATTGACCAATTTCTGCGCTCTAGAGGATTCCTCTATCGCCTCGCAATTTCGGGCCCTTTGGGTGTCCAAATTGGGGTGGCGGCTCTTATTGACAAGATCATGGCAAATTGAACTTAAATGTTGCAAGTGAACTCCATTTTTGGTTGTTTGTAAAGGGTTTGATAAGACATGTGACAAAATGCCATTACTTGTTTTGTTTTCTTTGTTGCTAAAACTTGAAGATTTTGATGCACCTCCCAATTGTTTATCTTTAAGTTCCCTCAATTTCATCTGATACTTTGCCTTAAGCCATCTCAATTCCTGCTGCATTTCCTTCTCATGGTTGTCTGATAGGTCACAATACACCGAAGGAACCACAGAGAAAGAACGAGAACTATCCAAGTGTCTAATTGACTTTCTTGCATTCATTTCAATATTTCTTTCTTCTTTCATGTCTTTCTCGTCCAAGGCTGCAAACAACTGATCGGATTTTTCATATTCTTCATCAGAATGGCTATGTCCAGACTCAACTGAACTAAGTTCTCGGCTTTCATGTTGACCCCAAATTTCCTGATAATGTAGGCAGTCTGATTGGGATGCACCTTCAGTCACATGATGCTCAGATTCTTCAGCTTCAAAGGTAATCTCTTCAAACCGGCCATGCATTGAAGCACATCCATTCCTACAACATTGAAGGAGTTGCAGGTTCTTGGCACCATGATTATTAGAAAGATAATCCATGAGGGAGCCAGTAGATGTCCGGTTGGAAGCACAATTAAGACAGAAATTTTGATCTGCAAATGGAGGTGTTTCTACTATTCCTGGCCCTGGCCTCCATTCAGGTACCAAGGAAGCAATCTCCCCATCAATAATGTCTGCTATTTTAGTCACATCTTGGTCAGTAATATCCAGCTCCGCAACCATTTCAGTTGCCACGCTCAATGCGGTATCTGTTTCAATGTCAAAAGGGAAATATATGTTCCGGATACGATCTGTAAAGAGACATAAATGAAGCACTATCTGTGAATATCCAGCAGAAAGGAAATATTAACAATCACAGAAATGAATTACAAGAGGAAAGGAAAAAAAGTTTCCTAACCTTCTTTATCCGCAATTCTGAGTCTTAAAAAGATACCATCATCATCTCTCCTTTTCCCCTTGATACTAATGTCAAGGTTAGCAGAATGATCGTCATCATCATGATACTCAAAAAGTTCAATTCCATTTGGTTCAACCTCAACTGGATGATGCCCCCACTCATTGTGGGTTTCATAACCATAATCATTCGAGTATCCATTACTGAAGGAATTGTTACCATGGTGGAGTTCAAGATAAGGATGCCTTAAAAGAGGGCCCACGTCGTTGGTTTCTCTCCCATAATGTAGCAAGCTCAAATCAGATTCACAATCATCAATTTGGAGAAAAGGGTCATTCAACAACTCCCTAGCAGAAAGCCTAAGGGACACAGTAGCCAGGCATTTCTCAACAAATTGTCGCACTTCCGGATCCTTCACTTTGTACAAAGCATCTGGTTTTTTACCCTGAAGAAATAAAGCATGTTAATGGAATCTAGTCTTTTCATCTAAAGGCATAAAGCTTATCACACCCAAAAAAGGGGAAAAAAAAAAAAAAGAATGCTCTTACAGAGACAACTTTCTTGTAAATTTGAGCAGGATGAGTGCATTCACTATATGGATATTCAAAGGTGACCATTTCCAAAATGCACATGCCAAATGAATATATGTCAACTAATTCATTATATGCCTCTTCATACACTTCTGGAGCCATGAACTCTGGTGTCCCTGAAGAAAGAAGAGCATCATATAGATTTGAACTTCAATCTATCAGAATGAATTTCCCTCTATTAATATAAGTATGATATTTCCTAAAACTGGATGACTAAAATAAGAGTTCTACAGAGATGATCAAGAAAGAGATTTCAGACTTGAGGTCAGTCAAACTTACCAACACAGTGAGCAGCATGAGACTTTCTAAGGATAGCAGCAAGGCCTAGATCTCCAATCTTCACTTCTCCTTGGTTCCCATTTACAAAAATATTGTCACACTTGAGATCTCTATGAATCACAGGAGGGTCATGGCTATGGAGATAGAAGAGCCCTTTCAAGATCTGCCGACACCAATGCTTCACTGCTCTAATGTTAACTCTCTTGTGCTTTAACCTATACCTGTCAAACCAGAAAGAGGAAGATACCCCAGAAAGAGAAATGAGCAATCTGATGAATGACCCAGGAGAAGAATTGACATTTAAACAAAAAATGAATCATACTATATAATGAGATTTTGTCAAATCTTACTGTCTTAAAGTCCCAGAAGTGAACATTTCAGTAACAAAGTTGATGTTTCTATTTGCAGTATCAACCCAAGAAGCGTAGAACTTCATAATGTTCTTGTGCTTCAATGTCTTGAGGAGATGAATTTCGCAGTAGAGTCTTTCAAGATCTTCAGGACTTTGCAGGAAATCATAAAGCTTGACCTGGTTCCAAGCAACTTCAATCCCTTCATACTCATCAAATGCTCTATAACTGCTTTCATCAAAACATCAACAAACACAAAATCAGTCACCAACCCATTTGTTCAAAGTTCAAATATTGCCCAAAATCAATATAAATCAGCTGAAAAAAAATGTACAAAAAACTTGATAAATCTCAAATGGGTATATAAACAAATCAAGGGAAGATAAAAACTTGGATTCATACACTATCTTAGAAGCTCCTTTGCCTAGAACTTCATTGTACTGCAACAACCAAAAGAGGAAAAAAAAAACATTTAAAAAATGAACCACCCAGAAATCAAACTTTAAAAAGAAAAAAGAGAGAAATAAAAAGTATGTGTATGTACTCTGCCATATCTTCCAGTTGGATCAACTTCAACAAACTCAGAAGAATCAGGCTGAAGATGTGTGAGACCATTCATTCTCTTAAAAAAAGGTGTAATCTATCTTTCCTAAATGTTCCCTCTTCACTACAAATAAGACTTCCTTTATGGGCTATATCTTTTTTCCTCCTCTGCTGGTCTGACACAAAGAGTGTTGAGAGAGAGATGGGGAGGAAGATGAATAATATTTATCAAAAATTAAAAAAAAACAAAAAATAAAAACACTACTTTTCTAACAAAAACAGAACCTTTATACAGCTTGAGAGAGCAATAGAGGAAGAAAGAGAGATGGGAAATTGAAGTAATCAAATTTTATTCAATGGTGATGAGAGAGTTGAACATTTTAACATTTGTGAACAAGAGAATGAAAGAAAGAGAGACATAATAAGGGAAGGGAATAGAGTCACCCAACCAACCAAAGAAGATGACAAACCAAATGGAAATTAGAGAGAGAGAGAGAGAGAGAACCTCCCCGTCTTCTCAATTGTTTTTTGTCATAAAACTGTAAAGTAAAAGCCTGCATAAATTTTGGAGTTAATTATCAGATTCAGAACTTCCTCAGGCTTCACTAATTCACCAGTACATAAATATTTTTTCTCTGCTAACTTCTGTTAAGGTTGTTTCATTACATTCCCACTAACATAAAAAACTGACAGTTTACCCCCACAGTTAGCCACTTTTACCTTCTATAATCATTTTTTGGTGTTAAAGTTAATTGAGGGAAAGGTATAAATAATATAAAAGAATAAAAAGAATTTAGAAAAAAAGATTATTTAAACCTATATATTTAAGAATTTATATTTTTTTAAAAAGAAAAAAAGTGTAAGATGATAGAGATTTTCAGGACTACCATTCTTATAACGTTAGAATCCAAAATCTTTTTCTTTAAAAAAATATTATTAAATTTTCAATCAACAAAAAAAAATATTTAAAATTTTTCCTTCTAGATATTTTAATTTTCAATCTTACGTTTCTCTCGATTATTTAACGCCAAATCCCTGATTGTGAGGATTAAGTGGCTAATCATGGGGTAATTGTCAAATTTTTATGTTGAATGAGGTATAATTAATAACTCTAACAGAACCTTAACGTAAGTTAAAGGAACGCGTTATTTGTGTTGACCTTATAATCTTTTTTATACACTTGTAAAATGTTGAACCCCAAGGGGGGTTTGTGTAATTAACTACAAATTTGAGAAAAATCAATTTGAAACATGGACCCCACTGATGCTCAAATCTGGACAAACTACTTCAAGGCTCTCCCTTTTATTTTCTTCATTTTACTTTAATCGGACCTTGAAATTTAATAATACTATTATGTTTCATTAAATCTCTTGAACAGATGATTTGATTTAAGAATTTATAAATTATTACCTCACATTTATAAAATTATATTATAAGCATAGTATTATCCTTATATATATATTATATATATAATATTATATATATAAAGAATTTGTATAAAATTTTACCTATAAAATAATGTGACATAACATAAATAATTAGATTATAATATAAAAAATTTAGTTAAATAGATACACATACATTAAATGATGTGATAATACAATAACAATGTCCTGTCTCTAAAACTTTATATAAACTTTAGGAGGAGTGTATATAATTACTGCCGGTAATACCATCTTATATTAATTACTTATATATTTGGTTTTTAAATAATATCTAAAATATTTTAAAATTAATAGTAATTATATTGGTTATTATTGGTAGTATCTGAATACCACAATTTTCTTAGGTATTTAAAACTATTTGATAATTTTAATTTTATTACAATTTTATCCTTAGCTTTAAAATTTTTGGACAATATCTCTTGTTTTAAAAACATTTTATAAAAATTCATCGACTATTTATCTTTATATAGAAAATTTTTAGGACATATATAACCCTTGAACTTGAAAACAATTACTCAGACTAGGTCGGATCTTGCCATACTACCGACTATCGTCGACAATGGCCCACGATTGTTCGGATCTGACTGATCATGGCTTTGATATAATATATATATATATAATAATGGTGGATGAGTAGTTTAAAGATATTTTTAAAAGGGAAAAAAGATTAAGAAATCTATCCAACTATTAACTTTTTTTTTTTCTTTTTTTTAATGAATATTTTTTACTATTTAAATTTGTCCTAAAGGTAGTTTTTTTTATGACTTAAAAAGACACTTTTTTTTTTTTTTTTCTATTTCAACTTAGAAATAGATATTTAAAAAAGCAGTCTTTAATACTTTTTTGAGATAGAAAAAGTGGTTGCCTAAGAAACAAGTTTTGAAGACAAAGAGACGTTTCTGTTGAAAATACTAAATTAAATTAAATAAATAAAATGAGTAATACATATTATTAATTATTTGAAGTCCATAATTTATGCAAATTAAAAAACTTGACACCTTTAGTCCTCATCATTTATTATATTGACATCCTAACTATAACTACATTTATTACTTTAGCATCATTCAATAACAAGTTTCTTGGAAATAACTAATTTTTTCTTTATTCTTTTTTTTTTTTTTTTAAACAAAAGTACTGATTTTTCTTAATAAGGTGTGGAATGAAACTCCCTCTAAGTGATCAAGTAGTTCGATAGATATTTTTCGGTGTATTACTCAAATGTCTTGAATTTGAGTCTTCCTTAATTATTAATAGAAGTAGTCAATGAGTTTTTACCTGATCAATGTTTCAAGGTCTCAAAAAATAGTTAAGGTGCATGTAAACTGGTCCAAACCCGGTTTAAAGAAAAGAAAGGTTGGGTATGTAATATTTAATCTTATAAATACATCACATTAAAGCATGCTACTATTTATATTTTTTGATAATTAATCTACTTCTAGAAGTGCTTTTAATATTATAAACCCTTTTCTTTTCTAATTATCAGAAGAAACCCAAACATGTGTATAAATTATGCATATCAAATATATAAGTTTTAGACGATTTATTCAATGTTATTAATGAGTCACCAAAAATAAATAATGTTTCAATATTAATAATAAAATTTGTGTTATAATAGTTTATATAAGAGACAAACATTCTCTAATGTACTCGTTTATTATTATATATTTTTTATCATAATAAAAGTAAAAAAAAAAAAAATCTGTCAATTTTTTTTTTTCTTTGATCTAATACTGTTTGGCAGATAGGGTTATAGGAATCTCGAAAAGCCTTTATTTGACCACTTTCTTACAAACCTATCTACCATTAACTCCTTTAATTGGCCTTAGATTAGGGGAATCATCATAATTATATTTGTTTTATATTATACTTAATAATAATAATATAAATTATTGCTAGTATGTGTTTTGATATAAACTAATTTTGATAGATAATCTAATTTTTTACGGTCTTTTAGCAACGAACATGATGTATCAATACGTTATATGTAAATTTTATAAAACACAATGCATGAAACTTTATGTGTATAACTTTATATCACATAAAATTATAAAGCAGAAGTGTAAAACTTTATGTATATAATTTACATTAATATAAATTTATAATACGTAAAATGTGAAACTTTATGTATATAATTTCACATATTATAGATTTTAAGTGACATGACCTTTATCATCCTAGATAGGCCGAGAGATTACCTAAATTAGATTTTTTTTTTTTAACTTTATATTTACCATATTAAAACCCAATTTTTTAGGGTTTTGTTACCATACACATGATATATCAAATTCAATACATCAAATATAAAAATTTTAAAGTATAATACGTGAAACTTTATGTATATGATTTTACATATTATAGTTTTATATTAATGACATGACCCTTTAATTCATAATAAGTGATCAAAAGGCTAATTTTAATTATTGTTTGATTTCATATATAGAGAATTCAATGTAGCCTAACTTTCGGATTATAGCTAAAATTTATTTTTCAAAACCCTCAACAAATGAATTAAAACCACCATTGTCTTTCTTCATTTTTATTTTATATATACAATCAAAATAATTTTTCAATATACAAAACTATTTACCATCACGCGTATTTATTAAATAAATTATATTTTTTATTTCAGAAATAAAATGGACAATTAATTTAAATCAATCAATGATCATGCGTAACTAAATTTATGAAAAGTGATATCATATCATCAATATATCCATGTATATAATAAATCTAACATATATGTTTTATTTATTTCATTTATTCTATATTTATAATTAAAAAATCTATTATTGGTTAAATTTGTGTATTTAGCAAGATTTCATTGAATACATTAAAATATTAAAAAATTATAATTGTATTTTTCTTTGATTTAATAGTGATAATGAATTAGAATTGACAACCAAAACCTAGAGGTAATTAATTATATCCCAAATCTCGATTAGATTTATGAAATTATGTAAAATAAATAATCTAGGAAACATCAAAAGAAAATTGTTAAAATATTGAGATATAAATAAAAAATTAAAAAAAAAAAAAAGCAAAACAGAATGTGTAATTACATAATTCCCTGCAAATAATGAGATTCTCGATGCAATTGACTAATTTCTAATTACAAAAGTCAAAAGGTAAAAAATAGAAAATTGGAAGATTTTTAAGTGGTAATATTAACATCGTAAATGATATAAATGTCCAAAAGAGCAACAAAATAGGTAGCTGGCCACGTGTCGAGTTGGGCGTTAGGGCACACTCATGGCTTCATGGATCTCTTTGTTCACATGTTCCTCCCATGCACAATAATTCCTCTAACTTTGTTTTGTCCTTTTCAAAACACAGAAGCACTTCTGTCTTGTGTTTGAAAAATGTAAAGTGAACCCGTCAACTTTCTCAAATAGTATGTGATTTTTTTTTTTTTTTTATTACATTTCCAAAGTAAATAAGTAGAAAATTAACTGTTTAAAGATGTTTACATTTTCCAATGAATTAATTTCAAGAAAATGGCATCGAAAAATCATTCTACAGGTGCAGGCATAACTGCATCAGAAACTTGACACACATTAACTATTATTGGATGAAAAAATAAAAGAAGGTTTTATCATCTCTTGAGTTCGAATACTAATGAGATGACCATTAAGCTCTTATCCGATCGATAATTTCAAGATCTTAAAGGATTAATTGAAGTACGGGTAAACTAGCTCGATATCTCGGTGATTAAAAAAATTTGATCACAATTGACATCGAAATCATAATATTGTACTGTCATTACATATTTTCAGTTATAATAATAAAAAAACGATTCAAAATAATAAAGGTTTTCGGATAGGTAAATAAACTAAACCTAACAATTTTAGATATCAATTTTATTTGTAAGGTTTTAACATCTCTAAAAAGTTTTATAATTTTAAATTAAGAAATATTATAAATCAATAATGTTATTGTTTCCTTTGGTGTGACTTATTAAACAGGGAAAAAGCATTTGTTAGACAGCAATGGTGAAGGGTTTGTTTGGTGGGGTATCTATTCTCTCATTTATCAAATTTTTGATAACGATATAAAACCAGCCAATCCTTATCTCTACA